ACTTAATGACATATATTTATTAATATATATATATATATATTTAATATATGTCATTAAAGAATTAGACATATCATTACCCAAAGCCCAAACATATCATCACCCAAAGCCCATTTTAATACTATTGCTTATGACCCAAACCCATAAACAGATCAGTCGACATAAAAACTAGACGATGTCGTCACTTGAGATAATAAAAACTAGGTCAGTCGACATCTTCTTCTTCCTCGTGCGCCCCGCTCTCTCTCTCTCCACGCAGTGCCCATGGGATACGGGATACGCCACTAAATTGGCGTATCCATGCTTCTCAGCGATTAACATATTGTTTTAACCATTAGCAATGGTTATGGGTACTGAAAAGAAGAAGTCTATTTCATCTTCTCAAAAGAAGAAAGCTGTCTCACAAGTGAGGGAAAAACAAGATGTCTCACTTGTTGAAAAGAAGCAAGTTGTCTCACTTGATCAAAAGAAGAAAGCTGATGCAGAATGCATATTATTAGTTTTCCTTATTCTACTTGGATTAGTTTTCCTATTATTAGTTCTCCTAACTCTTAAAAGGTTCCTTCTTGGTAAAGGATTTCTTATTAGCTAATTTGCTTTCCTATTTCTTAAAGATTCCTTCTTGTTAAAGGATCTCTTATTAGTTCATTTGCTTTCCTATTTCTTAAAGATTACTTTTCCTTGTCCTAGGCTAAAAAGGGTTTTGTCTCTATAAATAGAGCTGTTTGTAATCTTTTAAGGCAGACTTGATTAATGATAAACTTCCTTACTTTAAACTCTCTGATTCCTTCCCTTTCCCTTCGTCTCTTCGATCTCTAATTCTTCTCTTCGATCCCTTATTTCTTCCCTGCTCTCTTGCTCTAGTGTTTACTCTAAACCTAAAGGCTATTTACTCTAAACCCACGGGCTGTTCTACATCAATTGGTAATCAGAGCCTTCCCTCACTTTCGTTTGCGTTTTCTCTCTACCATGGCACCCCAAACCGTGGCCAGCCTTGCAGAACAATTTCATGCGTTCCGCGACAAAGTTTCTGACGATATCGCTGGCATGGAAACCCAACTCTCCAACTCAGCGTTGACTTCAAAGACGAGTTGGTACAGGCTCACACACATCGTGCGCAGACGGACCTTGCCATCACCAAACTCCAAGACTCCGTTCAGTTGCTTATCAATCACTTTCAGGCTGGACGTGCTGACCCTTCTACCTCCGCAGTGCTCTCAAGTTCATCTACACCAACACCAATGAGTGGCCTTCTGCCCAATCCACCGGTGGATCAAAAACTCAAGGCCGTGCCATACGGCATGCCGCATAGCTCCACTGGGCCCTCGCTTGATGAGCCCAAGACTCAATTGGAGGCCCCCTTTTCTTTGGGTCCCTTCCACAGCCCCATTATACCCAACACACAACGGGCCCTTCTACAGTTCCACATGATCAAGGCACTCATCCCCCTCGCCGTTTTGACAACGATATCATCCGCCACATCAAGCCGACCGCTCCTACTTTTGATGGTCGTGGGGATCCTACGATGTTTCTTGATTGGGTTCAAGCCATGGAAGATTATTTCGCATGGTACAACTTGACGGATGCTCATAAATTTCGCATTGCTAAGATGACACTACGGGGAGCCGCTAGACAATATTGGATTTCCATGGAGGAGCAACCCTATCAATTTGGACGGACGCCGG